TTTTAAACTCAAGTAAACAGCAGCTCTCTGCCTGTACAGGATACAACACTCCTGCATGTTCAGTTAGGATTATTCAAACAAATAATCCTAATCCAACTGATGCAAAAGTACGCTTTCAACGTTGTAATTGTGTTACCCAGAACAAGAGTAGAGCTAAGAAAACAAAATACTGACTACTGCAGGCAAAAAGTTTGCTGAAAAGCACCCCACAAACAGTTTCAGTAGAGCCACCAAGGTAAGAACTTGTAATTCTGACATTTTAATTGAATTTTACATGTACTTTAAAAATTTGGAAGGAAAGCTAATGAGTAGAAATATTTAGAATAAACAATTTACTAACAATCGAAACAGCTCCATATCAGCCTGAACACATCACACTTTTCCACAACATTTACCAGGAAATTTCTAAGAGACTACCACACCTGCACTTGCAACGTTATACTGTCCTTACTAACAGTTGCACATTTTCCTAAATTAGAAACTGCACTAAACATTACATGACATAGATCAAACTAGTAAAAAACAAAAAAAGTGCGGTGTTTTCCCTCTATGTATTGTTAGCACCTGGAAGGACTAGGAAGCCAAGATTCTTGCATCCAGGTGGGAAGGTGGATGTGGCCGAAATAGTCAAGATCCATAGAAAGGGTTTTATGCTCTTTAGGAAAAAATAGTTCTGATGGCAATGGAAAAACTGCTAACACAACACAAGGCTCAAGAGGAAAAACAAGACAAAAACGCTGAAATCAGTTTTTTGTTATCCATCTATTTCTATTCATCAGGTTATAGACTAACTGCTCCACAGGTGCATACAACTGTTTCTGTGTCTGAAGTGGTATTTCCACATAGCCACTTACTGAATTTTGTGAACTTGCAAGCTTGTAACAACAACAGTTCAGGAAATTCTGTAGTCCATTACAACCAGGGCCACTCAACTTTCTTTTCTAGTTACATACTCAAATTCCTAGAGCCTACTTAAAAAAATAAATCAATCATCTTCCATGTTAACCTGGGAAACGAAGCTGACTTCACAATTGATTTCATGATTTTCTGATGCTTAAAATATCCACAAATATATTTTCCTTAAGGAACAGACTATATACAACACATCAAACAGAGCATTATCTTTGTGAAGCCAGAACATCTCAACAGCCGATTTTTGTTCGAATCTGCAACTAAAACTCTTAGACTGACAATACTGGTACTTACAGGTGTGCAGACATTCTGTAATAGTTGTAGCATCAATAAAGTAACCTTTGCAGATGGAACACAGGATGTAAGGGGTCAGCTCTGCGAGGTTTATCATACGCTACAAACAAAGACAGTTTGTAAGAGTTCGAATATACAGGCTAAGCCATGGAATTTACTGACCATAGCTTCTGAAATATCACAGCCTTAAACCATGACAAAAATCTGGATCAGCAAGCTACAGAAATGGGTTTTCCCAAGAGGCAAATCATCCCTCACATACAGCTCTTTCCTAAATACTTTAATCTGGTCTTCTAAACTGAACTTTTTGTGAATGGCAATAAAATTTGTTTCATGCATTTCATATCTAGAAAGCAAACTAAAACCAATCCTTTTGGCAATAGTTGTTTTGGATAAACTCTTTAACAGAATATAAAATAACTGGTGAGCCTGAAGCGGATACTGGTAACGACTAATATAATTGTTTGATAAGTGCTCAGTAAGTGTGTTGGGGCCCCCAACCAAGATACATAACTAGTGCTGTCTCTTGTTCCTACACACAGTTAGGGATTATACAAATACACACAGAAGCAAAGACTGAAATTTCACTGATCTGAGTTGTGGTTATGAAGTACATTTATCAGGAAAGCATACAAGCAGCTTCATGACTATTTTCCTGTTGGAAGTCTACTATTTAAAAGAAAAAAAAAATTTCTTCTATAGCAGTGATCTGAGATCTGTCTGAAAAAGACAACACATTATATTTTTACACTCCGTTTTCTCCAGCCCCAATGCCAGACTAAGGGGCCTTCTTTCCCTCAATGACGCCATTCATTTCACCCACATGCCACGGCTCACCACCCTCTCAGCTACGCCAAGAGTTTGTAACCGCTTCATTGAAATGAGACGGGCAAAACGAACTCGGGCAATAATAAAAAGCCTATTACTATAAAGCTTACGTCGCCTAAGCAGGAGTCCAGATTTGCACCTGGAAGTTTTCAGAAGGCCCCAAACGCGTGGAAGGTGACGTCCGCTGCTCACAAGGCCTGCCCGACCACGGCGGCCTCCTGCGGGGGGGCGCCGGGCCTCACCTGA